TATATATGTTGCATCCGTTATTAAATCAATATCCAATATAATAAATACTTTGGTCGAATCATCAAGTTGTTGAGTGCAATTACATGACGATAAAACGGAGAGAGATCTCACTGATGATCATCTATCTATGCTTCGATTGAGAGGAGGGTGGGATCTTGTCGATAAGAGAGGCCCTCGTCAACATTTATAATCATTGGCTCGCACCTATGGGCCACTATAACTATCCAATATACACTCGAAACTGGAAGGATAAAACATTTCAAAAATATTTTGGAATTAATGGAAAAATACTAATAAATAAAAATTTGGAAAAAAAAAAAAGACATGTCATACATATTAACTATGAATGAACATGGTTCGGTTTGAGTGGTTTGTGACAAATTTTCAAACCAAACCAAACCACTTCAATTTCTAAATCAAACCATGTTTTTTCGATTTGGTTGGAATTAAAATCACAGTTTAACAAAGAAAAAATAAAATATATCGAATAAGTTAAATCATAAATATTAATCTATTATTTCATGTTAAAACATAAATAATATCATTGAAAATATTACAAATCAGAGTTCTATAATTCTAATCATTGTAAAACATCTACGATTTAACACATGATTCATTCTCTCCATAAAAATAAGAATATAATACATGAACACATTAATTATAGTTAACTAATATAAAATAACTAATAAAAGAAATGAATAGAAAGATCAAATACGAGAATACTTTTAATAACATTTTGTGAATCATTAAATGTTTCTGCCTCATCTAAATATTAACAAATCACCATAGGTTTTTTCTTACTATACAACCAAATTTTAAAGAGAATCACCATCTCAACCATATTTTCATTTAACGTAACTCCTAAAGGAATTAAGAATTCTATCACTAGTCGGGAATGCAGGTTCAGAAATAATTGTGAATATTTGAATAATCACTAAAGTAGTACGTCGAAAGACTTGGTGGTCAAATTTACAGAACGGCCATTTCATTGGAATGGATAATTGTCTATTTGAATATTGAGTTTAATTGGGTTATGTCTAATATAAATTTATCTTTTTAATTGGGATGCATTTAGTTTTCATTGGGGCAGATAAAATTTAAATTAATTTATTTTCAATTTTTTTTTTTGAAACGGTTTGGTAGTTTGAAAGAGTTTGCAAATATTCAAATATAAACCAAATCACTCTTCAAAATCAAAATATTGACAAATTCACGTGGGCCTAAACTAACAATTTTGAAAAAGCGATTTCGATTTGGTTGTGTGGTTTGACGATTTTGTTGTTCAGCCGTAATATTAACTGTTCAAAATAATTTTTAAACTACATACAAATCAAAGGGTGGGGGAAATTAGATATGTTTTGATATTTTACTATAAATTAATAATTAATGTAGATTTCAGCTTTCCATAAAAGTTGATATTAGAATTTTATGAAAGGAGTGATGTTATTTGCAGTTGTTCACTGCCGTAGTTGTCATACGTGGCATACATGTAACAGTTAGTGATTTGATGCATTAATATTGTACATTTTTTATTCTCTTATACAATTTTAAAAAGATATTTCTTTGTCAATATATTTTGGTATTTGAAGATAAATTAATAAGTAAGTTAATGTATATTTCGACTTCCCAAAATAAAATAAAAATAAAAATAAATTAGAGCTTTTTGAAAAAGATTCATATTGGAGTTTCTTTTAGGACTGGAAATGATTATGTTCGGTTCTAAAGCGAATATAACCGAACCTAAATTTTTCAGGTATTTAATAAATGGAACCGTTGTGTCTAAATATAATTATGGAATCATTTGGGTTTGGTTCCGTTCGATTTGGTTTGGTTTCGTACCAAAATTAATTTTTTAAACAGATTTCTAATGGTCAATGATCGGTTGTAGTGGTTGGAGGTCGCAACTTCGATGGACAGTTGGAGAGGGGAAGTCGGACTTGGCAGTTGGCAGCTTTGATTTAGGTATGTAGATGTAGCTTTTCAATTTATCAAATGATTTGGGATCAGTAACTCAATGGTTATTAAATGAAAGTGTGAAATTGGAAAGAGAATGATAAAAACTTAAAAAGCCTAAATCTTGGGCTAGGAATGAAATTAATAATTGACCAAAAAATTAAATTAAAAAATTAAATTTAGAAATTGGGCTGGACTGGACTGCACATGAATTTGGCTTGTGAATTAGAACATTAATCACTAATTAATTAATTTGCTAATTTGTTNGCACTAATAATTGAGTCAAAAAATTAAATTTAGAAATTAGGTTGGGCTGGACTAGCTAGGTATGAACTTGGCTTGGGAGTTAGAACATTAATCACTAAATTAGTTAATTTGCTAATTTGTTTAGAAAAAATTAAAAAAAATTAATTAATTCAATATAAAAAAATTTAAAAATTTATTTAAATTTGATTTTTATTCGGTATAGAACCGAGAACCGAACCGAACCCGTTGGTTTTCGATTCAGATACCCATTCGGGTATTTAACTTATGAAAAACCGTTTGATTCAGTTCAGTTCGATTCGGATCCGATTCGATTCTGAAGTTTTGTCCAGCCCTAGTTTCTTTGGAACAACTTTAAAAGAATTATTTTTTTTTTATACGAAAGTGCTTTTGACATTCTAAAACTATTTTGGAGCCCGTTTCACATAGTTTTTGAAAAGTCAAAAAGAGTTTTTGAGATTGAAAAGTTGTTTTTGAACCAATTTGATTAATTTTATGAAAATGTTTCTTTAAATTAAAAGTGTTTTTGAAGAGAGCTGGTCCAATGCGGTCTCCCCTAAAAATATCTTCAAAATAGGAAGCTCTTTTAAAATTTAGTTTCTAAACGAACATAAAGATAGTTTTCTTAAAAAACTTTTCTACAGAATGTAAAAATAAAAGTCATGTCAAACGGATCCTCGAACTCTCCAAAAACCTCCCAAACACAGACGAAGTCTAAAATTAGCCTTCTAAATCATATGAGACCTTGTTCAATTCAATTATTCTCTTATGTTGGTCAAAATTTTCCATTCAAATTCAAAGCAGCACCAAATTTAGTTAAAGGGAAGGGAGAGAGGAGGGTGGGGCCGGGGGGGGGGGGGGGGGG